GTTGCTATAAAATTATTATAAAACATCCAAGAATAATAATATAACAACATGGAATAATAAAAAATTTATAGATACGTTGGAGATGTATCAGTCGCCGCCGCCTCCTACCCTGGGTTTCACGCGCAAGACGGCACAATGGGCACAGGCGTCGACATGGAGGACGAGCTCGATGACGCTGAGGGGGAGGAGGAGGAGGAGGAGATGGAGCCGGAGCCGGCACCGACAAGGAAAGGGAAAAAGAAGAAGGGGGGCAATGCCAGGACGGGCGAGCCACGCGTCAAGTGGATGTCCAAAGAAGATGAGTGCCTCGCCGAAGCATGGAACACCGTTAGCATGGACCCAGTCACCGGCGCGAACCAGAACGTCGACATGTACTGGATGCGTATCAAGTCGGCGTTCGATGAGCGCAAGCTTGTCGACCCCTACTGATAACCCACAAGTATAGGGGATTGCAACAGTTTTTGAGGGTAGAGTATTCAACCCAAATTTATTGATTCGACACAAGGGGAGCCAAAGAATATTCTCAAGTATTAGCAGCTGAGTTGTCAATTCAACCACACCTGAAAGACTTAATATCTGCAGCAAAGTATTTAGCAACAAATTAGTATGGAAGTGCGATAACGGTGGCAAAAGTAACAGTAGCAGTTTTGTAGCAATTGTAACTGTGGCAACGGAAGAGTAACTTAACAAAGATCAATATGAAACGAGCTCGCAGGCAATGGATCAATGATGGATAATTATGTCGGACGACATTCATAATGCAACAGTTATAACATAGAGTGACACAGAACTAGGTCCAGTTCATCAATATAATGTAGGCATGTATTCCGAATATAGTCATACGTGCTTATGGAAAACATGGAGGCTTGTATGAGGCATCCAATTAGTAAATATAAGATTTTGACACTTTAAAGTTGTGGGGTATTGCATTGTACTCTTCAGACCCGTTGTGTACCCATATTAGGATCTCATGCAAAATGACAAGTTGTTCCGAACCTTAACGCGATTTGATGAATCTCTTGTTCAGTAAGCATGGAAACACCTACCGCTAGGTTTTCTTCGTAAAAGTAGTGATTCCATTTGCACTATCCTATTTGTGTGTTACAAGTTGTACAGGACCACAAGAAAATTCTTATGACCCACGCGACAGTATGCAGCGAAAAGGTTCGGTACATAGGGTGTCAGTCCCCCCCTCCCCTCCACCACCACTTCAAGCCAACCGGAGGGAGGGAATCAGGTGAATGCATACGCTCAAACTTGCTTTAGCCTCTCACGATGACCAACCGTGACTCAAACCAAGAGCAATCCACCATGGTCAGACCCCTCTCACCGTCTGTCAAAGGGATAGACCAAGTGGGCTCACGGATGGGCGCGTCATTGAAAACCGCATGAGGGAGTGTCAGAATACCACGTCACCTGCATGTCGCACAAAGATATTTTTGAAAGGGTGCTGCAATATTTAAATACGCAATGCAAACTTTGATGTGGCACCTGTCTCACAAACCGGACAGTCCCACGGAAAGGTTCTGGACGTAGGGTGTTGGTCCCCCCACTTCGAGCCGGAGGGAATTCCGTCAACGCATGTGCTCAAACGTGGCCTTACATCTCACCATGACCTATCGCGACATAAACCAAGAGGAGTCCACCATGGTCAAAACCCTCTCGTTGTCTGTAAAAATGATAGACCATGCAGGCCCATGGGCGTGTCGTCGATAACCGCGCGAGGAAGGGCTTGAACACTACTCCCATCTGCATGTGGTCCAAAGATATGTATACAAGCAGGGGCGGAGCTGTGTAGGGGCCGATCCGGGCCATGGCCCGCCCAGGAATTTGGCCTCTTTTTTTTTTACCTACATGTCGTCTTAGCCCAGCCCACACACGGCACATCATCCCCATCCTTTCCTCTCGTCTCCCGCACGCGTAGGCAGTCACGCCTCTCGTCTCCCGCACGCGTAGGCAGTCACGCATCTTCCCCAATTTCCTCTCGTCTCAGCATGTAGCCACGCCGCCGGCACTGACCGCCGTGGACAGGGAGGGAGCACCGTCCACCAGAGCGCTGCCCACCAGAGCTCATCGTCCACCGACCAATGTTGTGCGTGCTGCCGGCCATCTAATCTTGCGGCTGGCTGTTCTCCAACTCAATGGCTGGCGCATGACCTGAGCGAGATCCCCATCCATGTTCTGTGTTGGCGCACACATGAATTAGCCCCCTGCCGCATCGCACTTCACACACGGGCACACAGCCCCAGGTAGCTAGCATGTAGAAATCTTCCCCCAAATTCTATAGTTGGTTTGGTGATTTTTCATCATGTCTAGAGTATTTAGAGGACAAAAATTGTGCGTATTGTCTATATTGTTTTGTCTCCAGTAACAAAAGAATACGCGAGGTGGTTCTCATGTCCTCACGGTATATGAATTTGACAGTTGGAAGAGGGTTCGTCGAAAACATTGTGCATTCTTGACCCACATAGGATCTGGACCATGCTCACCACACAACAATGCAGTCACTAGTTGTCATGCCTTACTGAAACAACCATGCCACACAGAGAATATTATAGTTGTGAAGGGCAAGGAGAAAGTGCCAAGAAACCGTTTGTGGCTGAATGTGTAATTTGCGGTTGTTAAGTGGCTTACATTTCAAGCTTTCTCGAAATGGTGAAGCTTCTTGCAAATAATTTAATAGTGCTTGATGGTTGAACTGTACTTTATTACACGTGTTGTACATATTATATGCTCCCTCTGTACCGATATACTTGTAGTTGGCGGAAACTAGTACAAGTTCCCCCAACTACAAGTATTTCGGCACATATCTGCTAGATCGGTCTTTTAACATGCCCTGATGATGGCGAATTTGAAAAAAAAATTGTGATCTTCTTTAGTCTGGCCCGCCCAACTTTTCCTTTCAAGCTCCGCCACTGTATACAAGGTTGGTGCGATGTTTAAATACCCTATGCATGGCTTGGATGTGGCACCTGCCTCACAAACCG